ACTAAATGGTTCGATTACGGGAGCTTTGACCTTTTACCCGCAATTGGGTGGTTTGCCCCCTTGGGTTGCTTTAAAACGACACAAAAACTGTGTTATGCCCCTTTAAATTCAAAAAAAACAAATCCACCGGAAGAAGGGGGTGGGTCTACAACGTTTAAAATTTAAAAATATCTATAATGAACGGATTCGAAAAAAAAGGTCTCCCGGAATTTTAAACGCGTAGAAATTTCATAGACTTTTAAATCATTTTTCCCCAAGGGATCCCTATTTTAAATTTGGCCTAAGCTAATTGTATATTTTTTAAAAAAGGTTTTTTATAAAAATTTTTAAAAAGACTTATATGGCCCCTTATAAAGGCCATTTGTAAAACAACCCTCCCAAAGCTCGGGTTTTTTAAAAACCTAAAAAATTCTATAATTCCCTTTTAATAATTATAATCACTTTTTGAGATTCTGTTATGAAACATTATACTAACAATGTGGCCAAGTGATTAACGTGTCAGACAAGTTATCCAAGGATTGCTGGTCACCAAGGAGAGCAAGAGATTTTACACTCATTGCTTAGTTCTGGTTGGTTCCTGGGCAATTAATAAAGGAAACTCTTGTCAAAGTTTATCATGTCAAGTTTATTTATAAACAAATGCATAGAAATGCCATAATTTCTACAATGATTCAGTTTAACTTTAGCATATTAAATATCAACATCGTTTACATAACAAAACACTCTAACCATGTTTTGTATATAAAGAATTACAATAACATTTCACTTCTTACAAACCTAAAAAAACATTTAACCTAATGACAATAGCAAAAACTATTCAGCGAGAAAAATATATTTAAAATTGAAATTACATTCTTTTTTTTTCCTAAATGACAAAACAACTACAAAAACTTCTTCTGTCAGATCAATTTAATTGTACACAATTTCAATAATTTTACAAAAATACTTTTCTGTATATAATACTAGATTTTATTATTTTAAATATTATTCAATAATTGCCATGCTTTATATATACACCTTATCTATAGAATTTGAATATGAATATTCTTATAGCATTTAATTTCATAACAGTATTTTAAGTGGCATAAGCCCTTGGTACAAAATAAAATATCAGCATGGAGGCAGACCAATTAGCAAACCCTGTCAGTCTTGTTTTGTTTCAGAAAAAACCTGGAAATCTGGCTTTAGTATGGCTTTATAACAAATTAAGAAGTCTTGCTTTAGCTTAACTTGGCTATCTGGATTTAGCAAAACCTGTCTGTCTTGTTTTGTTTCAGAAAAAACCTGTCAGCCTGGCTAAAGCAGAGTCAGGCAATCTGCTTTAGTCTGGCTCGAGTAGGTCCTTGCAGCCTGGCTGAAATGTATGTTCATAGTAAAACATAAGCATACTTACAGACAAGTATAAAATATTAAGATAATAACTTATCAAAAATACTGTGTGGTGCATATAAAATGGCATTCTTAAAGGGACTCTACTAAGATCATAAAGCCTAAAAACTTAAGATTTGAATTTTGTTTACAAAGATCAGCTGGGGCACTTAACACAAAAGAAAATTAAGAAATATATTAAACAATAAATTGAAAATCATATTTTTGCGCTATTCTTATTATGATTTAAACAAAATCCATTGCAGCACTTTTTAATTCTGGGTCATTTTTCACAATTAGAATAATTATTCTGAAAAAATAAAATTGAGTGAGCAAATGATCGGAAATTTGTATACAAGTGATTGGTTAAGACCTACATTAAACAGAATATAAATCTGGAAAAAAATTCTAGTCCCGTTTTGTCAAAAAACCGTAGTGGAGTCTCTTGAACATTGCATAAAATTTCTTTATCATATACACAGCATTGAGTCAAAAGAAAAAAGATAAAAAAATACAATACAATGCACAACAAGTCAGTAAACTTACACAACAGCAATCAGTAAAAACACAAATTTGAGATTTTTTTATCAAGTTTGGTACAAAAATGTCAAATCAAGTGTTTTTTTTCTGTAACATTTGAAAAATGGCTTTATGTTCGTTAAAGACAAAACAAAACCATCAACAGTATCATAAAAAAACAACAGCAATTAATCTTCACTTAATATTTTAAATGTTCTTTCACATCTTTGTATGAAAATAAAAATTAAACAAGATATGTTTGTAAAACATGTATGCCCCCTATCAGCAGCCAATTAGTCATGTCATAAGGTTATTGTGCATGACTTCTGACCGAGTGATCAAACAATTGATAAGGGTTATAAAGTATCTACTGGTCATGACCTTGACCTTTGACCCCTTGACCCAAACTCAATAAGGGTCATCTGCTGGTCACGACCAATCATCAAACAAAGTTTGAAGTTCCTAGGCGTTTTTAGTAAATTGATCAGAAACCGTTTTTACCTACAAGGTCAATGTGACCTTGACCTTTGACCCCTTGACCCCAAAATCAATAGGGGTCATCTACTGATCATGACCAATCACCATCTCAAGTTTGAAGTCCCTAGGCCTAAGGGTTCTTTCATTATTGATCAGAAACCGTTTTTACCTACAAGGTCAATGTGACCTTGACCTTTGACCCCTTAACGCCAAAATCAATAGGGGTCATCTGATTGGTCATAACAAATCACCATACCAAGTTTGAAGTTCCTAGGCCTTAAGGTTCTTTAGTTATTGATCGGAAACCGTTTTTACCTACAAGGTCAATGTGACCTTGACCTTTGACCCCTTAACGCCAAAATCAATAGGGGTCATCTGATTGGTCATAACCAATCACCATGCCAAGTTTGAAATTCCTAGGCCTAAGGGTTCTCTTATTATTGATTGGAAACCGTTTTAACATACAAGGTCAATGTGACCTTGACCTTTGACCCCAAAATCAAAAGGGGTCATTTGCTGGTCATGACCAATCACCATGCCAAGTTTGAAGTTCCTAGGCCTAAGCGTTCTTGAGTTATTGATCAGAAACCGTTTTTACTTACAAGGTCATTGTGACCTTGACCTTTGACCCCTTGATCCCAAAATCAATAGGAGTAATCTGCTGGTCATGACAAATCACCATACCAAGTTTGAAGTTCCTAGGCCTAAGCGTTCTTGAGTTATTGATCAGAAACCGTTTTTACTTACAAGGTCAATGTGACCTTGACCTTTGACCCCTTCACCTAAAACTCAATAGGGGTCATCTGCTGGTCATGACCAATCATCACACAAAGTTTGAAGTTCCTAGGCCTAAGCGTTTTTAGTAAATTGATGGGAAACCGTTTTTACCTACAAGGTCAATGTGACCTTGACCTTTGACCCCTTGACCCCAAAATCAATAGGTCATCTGCTGGTCATGAACAATCACCATACCAAGTTTGAAGTTCCTAGGCATAAGGGTTCTTAAGTTATTGATCGGAAAGCATTTTTACCTACAAGGTCAATGTGACCTTGCCCTTTAACCCCTTAACCCCAAAATCAATAGGGGTCATCTGCTGGTCATGACCAATCACCATACCAAGTTTGAAGTTCCTAGGCCTAAGGGTTCTTTAGTTATTGATCGGAAACCGTTTTTACCTAAGAGGTCAATGTGACCTTGACCTTTGACCCCTTGACCCCAAAATCAATAGGGGTCATCTACTGATCATGACCAATCACAATCTCAAGTTTGAAGTCCCTAGGCCTAAGGGTTCTTTCATTATTGATCGGAAACCGTTTTTACCTACAAGGTCAATGTGAGCTTGACCTTTGACCCCTTAACGCCAAAATCAATAAGGGTCATCTGATTGGTCATGACCAATCACCATACCAAGTTTGAAGTTCCTAGGCCTTAAGGTTCTTTAGTTATTGATCGGAAACCGTTTTTGCTTACAAGGTCAATGTGACCTTGACCTTTGACCCCTTGACCCCAAAATCAATAGGGGTCATCTACTGATCATGACCAATCACCATACCAAGTTTGAAGTTCCTACGCCTTAAGGTTCTTTAGTTATTGATCGGAAACCGTTTTTGCTTTCAAGGTCAATCTGACCTTGAACTTTGACCCCTTGACTCCAAAATCAATAGGGGTCATCTACTGGTCATGACCAATCACCATACCAAGTTTGAAGTTCCTAGGCCTTAAGATTCTTTAGTTATTGATCGGAAACCGTTTTTGCTTTCAAGGTCAATGTGACCTTGACCTTTGACCCCTTGACCCCAAAATCAATAGAGGTCATCTACTGATCATGAACAATCACCATACCAAGTTTGAAGTTCCTAGGCCTTAAGGTTCTTTAGTTATTGATCGGAAACCGTTTTTGCTTTCAAGGTCAATATGACCTTGACCTTTGACCCCTTGACCCCAAAATCAATAGGGGTCATCTACTGGTCATGACCAATCACCATACCAAGTTTGAAGTTCCTAGGCCTAAGGGTTCTTTAGTTATCACTCGGAAACCATTTGGTCTACGGACCGACGGACCGACAGACCGACGGACCGACAAGTGCAAAGCAATATACCCCCTTTTCTTCGAAATGGGGGCATAACAATATAAAACTTCATATAAACTATAACTAGTTGAGGCTGGAAAGTAATGGGTAACTGCTCACAAATCACTTTCCTAAACAACATACAAACTTTACCTAAACTGTCACAAAATAGTTGTCACCATTGTCATAGTATTAATACATGTATCATTAATCATAATTTGTGTGTATATATCAATCAAAAATATCATATAAAAACTTTCAGATTTGCCAGATTTCTACCATATTTCAGCAGAAAATTCTAAATTTCTTTTTAGAAAAAATATAAATTTCTAACAGTATCAAAACAAAATAACATTTAAAATGGAAAAAAAGAATTTAAAATTATATAGTAAGGAAACCTTTGTAAGCACTATGATATGCCAAATTTGTTCTGTTATTTAAGCAAATATTTAGAAAACTTTAGAAAAATATTAATTTCTAACAGTTAAAAAAAACAACTTTTTTTTGGATGTCAAAGCAAGAATGTGTTTTTTTGTTTTATTTCTTTTTGGTTGAGTTTTTATGTCACACCAACACAGTAGAGGTCACATTGGACTTTCAAACTTTACTGGTGGAGGAAGACCTAAGGCTCCCCTTCCCCGTGCATTAAATCAGGCACCGAGAACTATTAGCCTCCTGTAGGCTGGTTAGATAGTTTCCTCACATGAAAGAATTGAAAGTCCCTGGTAGGATAGTGAGTGACAAGTGGTTTGAAGTCAACGACCTTAACTACTCAGCCACGGACACCTCTAAAGAATGTGGTGAATAAACTATTATCATATGTGGGGTGAAGTTTCACACACAGTGTTTGAAGAAACTATTAATGATTAATGGTAAATTACCAGCCAATAATGTAAACTAATGGTATAAACATCTAAAACATATAACAACATTTAGTAATGTCAAAAATAAATAACAACCATCATTAATAATGAACAAGTTAACTTACTTACCAAATAACTCAAATGTAAGACAACTAAACTACAAGGTGACTAACAAAGTTCGTACTATACATGGTTAATACTATACACCATTATAATTCCCACCTACAAAGATGACTTTGATCCTCAAAATAGAAAGCACTTGTAAATTCTTTTATAAAACCCCTGTCCTAATGTATATTCAACTGCAAAAGAAACTTTAAGTTTATATCTGTTAAGTTTTTGTAATACAGTATAATTCAACTGCAATAGATTAATATGTTATTTTCCACAATTTACTCCATATAACATCTGACTGTTTTATATAGTTAATTATTCAATTTATTATATATACTTCATATAAACTTTTTACTATATAGCCTAATGTGACATTACAAGGTGTATTTCCATCTATCATCCTGGATATGTGTATCAACCGATCAATTTTTTTTTTCAATTCCCCAGGGGAGAGTAATCTATATAGACTTAAGAAAACATAATGTTCTAGTTCTCTCCCCTGATCAAAATCTATGATAACTGGCTCTTGAAGTAAATAATGCATAGCAGTGAAAAAATTACATTAAAATGTTGGTTCAGTAAAATAATAAAAATAACACATGTCCGCAACAGATGTTATTTCAGTTCTCAGGTTGCATATATACATTATTACTCCAACACCCTAAGATACATGTTATCTTTATAATATTACATGTTAAGTTTCTTTCACAGTTGAGTAATTTTACATTTGGACACTGTTATCACTGTTATGTCAGCCTATTTAAGACTTCAGTTTTTTCCCAAAAAAACCTCACACACATATATCAAACTGTACATTTAAAACAACGTTTTATCACAGAATCATGGCAAACCATGAGAGAATGAGGAGGATTCCACCATATGGAGTGGCCTTTCTTACACGTCCATCTCCTGTCATTGCCTGATAATAACATGTACCAGAGAACAGTAGGAGGCCGGATGTCATTAAACCGCCAACCTGTAATATAGTAAATTACAAAGACTTAGTGATAAAATGAAATAGATAATAGTCATATAGTACTATAAAGGCCCATTATGCCTCAGAATTGCTAACATTTATATTTATCAAAACCTTCGTGACCGCCTCCGTGGTCGAGGGGTTAGAGTCAATGACTTCTAATCCAGTTACCCCTCTGGCGTGGGTTCGCTCCCCGGGAGATGCTTTGGTAGTTTAGTGTCGAGGAAGGTAGTCTAGTACTAGTGTAACTCTTCAGGAACGATGGTTAGGAAACTATCCGCCTATATGACTGAAATACTGTTGGGAAATGACACAAACAAACATACCTTCGTTTCTTTGGGTATCTTGTTACTGTTTCCAGAGAAATACTCATTTGCGATAATGATACATAAACTGTCTTTTGATGATTTTGTTATGCTGGTGATTGGTACAAGTATAGTGAATTAGTATTTTGTGTGGAAATCAAAATACTGCTTTGTTTACATTTTGCTACCTTCACCACACTGGACTGCATGTTCAGTGCTTCTTCTTCACTTGTTAAACATTTAACATGTTCTTAATTCATAATGAAAACATTATTATTACAACACATGTTTGCCATTTCTTAAGAATTAAAAAAATACAGATTTCTGAGGCAAAAAGAGCGAGTGTAAGACAAAAGCCCTTCCGGGCAAAAGCCCTCCCATGCAAAATGACAAGGTGGGCAAAAGACCTCCCGAGAAAAAGACAGGGCGGACAAAAGCCTCCCGTGAAAATGACAGAGCGCACAAAAGCCCTCCCGCAGCAAAGACATAAATGTATTTTGAATACTTTGTTTTTTTTTTCAATGCACTCAACATAATTAAATTACAACATGTATTATCATGAATTTATTTGTTTTCCATTTACATAAGTGTGCTTGTATGAGCTTGAGCACATTCCTGAAAGACATCTGAATAATACTTTACTATACATGTATATATTTAACTGTAAATAAATGAAAAACATCAACATTATCTAGTTTTCCAATCATCACTGTTTATCAAAGAGATATATTAAAAGTTTAACTTCCTTTTTTTCCAAAAGTAATGCAGGGATCGCTGGTTTGATCCTCTGTCTTGCCCTAGTTTTTCAGTGACAAAATGACCTTGGACATTGAGTCTAAAGGTCAGGTGTCTCTCACTGCTGATTCAGGAATCATGTGGAACAAATAGTCTTTCACTTATAAAAAAATCAGTAATTAGTGAAAAGTCGGTAAATAAATTGACTGTAGAGATATCACAAAATATATGTAAAAATCAGTGTAAAACCAACCCCCCAAAAAAACCAAGAAAAAAAACAAACATACAGCCTACAATAACTTGCCAGAATGAAGTATAGTACATACCAATTTAGGTCTTCTGGTTAGCGGCACTGCAAGGAGAGCCACTGAATGAATCAAATGCATCTTATTGCCCGATTCAAATACCTGAAATATTCAACCATTTGTTATAACAACAATAAATGTGTTAACTTACAAGCATTTCATTCAATAAAAGCCAAAACAGTTTTGAAAACTTTCATCTATTTTTATATGTTTTTTTTATATTAGTACAATCTGATAGACCACTGCCCTCATGTTGCTACTTGCAAGAAAAGAATAACCTTTCACACCAAGTCATTTCAAAGCCTATGTAAAGTTCAGTTTTAATTAAGTGTATAAATCTGTCTATCTCAAACCTGTACAACTTTTGCAACTCCATAAAAACCATTTAACAGCTGTGCATATATATTTTGATGTGACATCACTTGTGTTATACAAACTTACATGTAGCTTAAAGATGTGCATGTGAATGTTACACAATAAATGTGTCAATGATAACATGATTAATTTTTACTGTAAACAGTTCCATTTTAGATATGTGTTAAATAGAATATTATATTCATGTAGCTTCATCATCACATTTATTGAACTCATTTAATAGATTATTATGCTTACCAGAGGTTTACATATTATAATTTCACTCAACTCGTTCAATAAATTCCATATTGAACCTACAATTATTCAATATCCTCTATTTACCAATAAAAGTTTTAGGATGGCAACGGAAACATCAACAACAACATGACCATAGCAATAGCTCAAGTTTTTTTCTATTAAAAAATAAGGTTAAAATGACATGCTTGCACAAGAGAATTATTGTTAACACATAGGCACCCTTTCTAAACATTTATGATATCACAAGAGAATTATTGTTAACACAAAGGCACTTTTTCTGACCATTTATGATTAGAGTTCAACCTTTTAAAGGGATTTTACCATGACGGGACTGAAAACGCACTTTCCGAGATTGGATGCAGGTCTGGACCAATAACTTGTGTGCAAATAATCTGATCATTCCCTAGCCCCATTTTCCAGAATAATCATTGACAATTTTATTGTGCAAAATGACCAAAAAAATCAAAAGCATCGCAATGCTTTTCACTCTAATCATGCTAAAAAATGCATAAAAGATGATATTCAATTTCATAATGAGTATATTTCTTAATTACCCCTTGTAGATTTTTCCCAATTAAGTGTTTCACTTGATATGTAAACATTTCAGATTTTTTGTTTTTTAAGGCTTTTGACCTAAGTGGAACTCCTTCAAGGATATGTAAATGTGTACACCAACGGCACATCATTCAATCTGATTTCTTTCAAATTCAGTGGATTTTACACACCCAAATCACAAGTTTAGCAATAACTTGTACACTTTGAAAATCATTAAGATTAATATAATATAAGGAAAGGCAATTCTGCAAAGAATACTCTTTAACAAAAAGTAAGAGTAAATTACAGTGTTGCCTTAATTATCATTTTATCTTTTTATAATCTTCACAAAAATCATTAATTTTGTGGGCATGACATTTTGTGGTTTTGTCAAAAATGACATGTTTGTGGATTCCTAAATTTGTGGATAACCATAGTTTTGCAAAACAAAGTAAGATGCAAATAAAGTAGTAATTAATTTTAGGGCCGGCAAAATCAATTGTCCCTATTGTCCAGGTTGTCCCAAAGTCTGTATGGACAAGTGAAAATTTTCAAGAATTTACTATGTCGATCAATATCATATGGACAAGTTAATAAAACGGACAAGTCAGTCAAAATCAGATTTTGCTGGCCCTACTTATAAACATATTCATACAGCAAAGGTAATAATAGTTTGTTAGACCTTAAATTTGTGGACTGACCTATTCACTAAAACCACAAATATTAGTGACCCGTGAATAACTAGAACTATCGCTGAATGCGATTCATACCCCCACCAATGTCCTTGACAGAAGACCACTTAGAAAGGTGGTTAAGGGAATAACTTATGTGGCACAAATACATAAAAAGAAATTGTATTATAGTTTGGGGACCTTTCTGTTGAAAATGTGTCAGGGTTAAATCGTATACATATACATGCACAGTGCGTTAACTGGAGTGCGGGTATTAGTTACCCGCACTCCAGAGCATGCCCATTGATTGGCTCATTTTTGCTGGGGTTTACATATTTTGACGGCAGAGAAAGGGAAAGCGACAGAAATGTCATATTCAGATGTTCGTTCATTGGTTCATTTTTGCCGGGGTTTCATATTGTGACAACAGGGAACGTGCTTTTATGTTTGACTATGCTACAAAAAAGAAAAATGCTACTATGACTATGCTACTATGACTATGCTACAAAAAGAAAGAACACCAAAACACTCGGCAATCTGATTAATACTCGGGGGCTACGCCCCCTCGTACAAATCAGATAGCCTCGTGTTTCAGTGCTCTTTCTATTACTTATCTCTGGTGAAAAAAAGACTAATTGTACAGGTAATAGTATAAATATATATTATCAAATCATGTTCGAAACAGTTACAAATAACCTTTCATTTTCCAAATATATTAAACATTTTATTTATAAGTCCACGTTGACCTTCAAGTGTGGCCTTGACCTTAATCTGGCACAAGGGTAAGATGGGTTTTGCACATCACCCAGTTTGGTTGAACATTTGAGTAAAGTTTGAAGAAAATCCTTCCGTTAGTATAGAATTTATAGAGTAGACACAATATATTGTCTAGTATTGGTTGTATGTAAATTTGAAGACTTAAAAAGGGGCATAACTTTGTCAAAATGCAATACAGAGTAATGAAACTTGACCTGCATATCTTATTTGCCACACCTCATATATCGTTAAAGTTTCAAGCAAATGCCTGCACTAGTTTCAGAATTATTCAAGTACATGTTAAAATTTAAGAACATTTTCTAAGTCAATTTTTGACTTTCAAGTGTGACCTTGACCTTTAGAGCCGGCACAAAGGTGACATGGATTCTGCACATATCCTTGTTGAGGTGAAAATTTGAGTAAAGTTTGAAAAAAATTCTTCCATTAGTAATAGGATTTATAGAGCGGACACAACACATTGTCTAATATTTGATTGTAATGTAAAATTTGAAGACTTAAAAAGGGGGCATAAACTTTGGTAAAATGGCAATACAGAGTTATGAAACTTGAACGAACAGCATATCGGAATTGTTTGACCCTTCAAAAATATTTTTAAGTTTCAATCTACCTTTTCTAAATTTAGAAATATTCAAATAAATGTTAAAATTTAAGAATATTTTCTAAGTTCAAAATTTTTGACCTTAAAAGTGTGACCTTGGACCTTAAGCCAGTTATAAAATGAGTGACATAAGTTTCTGCACATCCCCTGGGTTGAGAATGAAACATTTGAGGCAAGATTGAAGAAAATCTTTCCAATTAAGTGTAGGACTTACAGAGCGGGACTTACATACTGGTGTAAAAATTTTAGATTGTTTTTGATATTTGACCTTCAATTGTGACCTTGACCTGAGCCTAAACACAATGGGCAACATAGATTCTGCACATTCCCCTTGTTGAGGTGAATATTTGAGCCAAGTTTGAAAGAAAATCTTTCAATTAGTGTAGGACTTACAAGAGCGGACACAAACATACTGTGTAATATTTGATTGTTTGATTTTGACCTTCAATTGTGACCGTTGACCTTGAGCTGGCACATGGGGCAACATGGGTTCTGCACATCCCCTTGTTGAGGTGAACATTTGAGCCAAGTTTGAAGAAAATCTTTCAAGTAGTGGAGGACTTAAAAAAGAGCGGACACGACAATACTGTGTATATATATAATTGTTTGATATTTGACCCTTCAATTGTGACCTTGACCTTGAGCTGACAACATGGGCGACATGGTTCTGCACATCCCCTGGTTGAGGTGAACATTTGAGCCAAGTTTGAAAAAAAATCTTTCAAGTAGTGTAGGACTTACAGAGAGCGGACATGACATACTGTGGTAATATTTTGATAGTGTTTGATATTTGACCTTCAAATTGGTGACCTTTGACCTTGAACTGACACACATGGGCAATATGGGTTCTGCACATCCCCTTGTTGAGGTGAACATTTGAGCCAAGTTTGAAGAAAATCCTTCAATTGGTATAGGAGTTATAGAGCGGACACGAAAATGGAGACGGACCGACCGACGCGACAAAGCCAATCCATTATAGCCCCCCCCACATTTTGTGGTGGGGGTATAATAATGACTTTGAAAATTTTATGATACTTTTCATTTCATTAAAATCCAGCTTATATATATTATTAACTCTTAAACAAAGTCTAACAATGTGACCAGTGCAGACCAAGATCAGCCGGCTCATCCATGCCATCTGATTATGGACTGCACTGTTCACTACTCAGTCAGTAAATAGTTTGAAAATTTCCTTAAAAATGACAAATAATTTAGTCCAGATTGAAAGATGGCCAAGTCAATTTAAGATATTTAGTGTAGTAAGGGTTAAATATATTAAATAATACATGTATTTAAATAATCACTGATATGCAATAGAATAATACTTACATGTTTAAGTCTTGTGTCCTCAGTTTGTGAATTAAATGCTGAAAAAAAAAATGAAAAGAAAACCAATCTTTGATATATTTACATGTAAAGGGACTCCATCGCGGATACCCATTGCCGAACCATTAATATTTAATTAATATTTATCATGTTATGTTACATGTTAATCAACCGTGGGTATTCGATTTTGAGGTCCAAAAGTCTTAAAACAGTCAGTTTGAAATTCTTACATGAACACAAATCTACTGGTGCACTTCTAAACTATCACTGAAGGTGATTCATACCACCATGCGTTACCTAAAAAAAATATTTGAAAATTAAGTTGTCTGAAGCCAAATTTGAACTGAACCTATATTTTATGAAGATTCATCTGTGTATCAGTAATAATTGCAATTAATTGCCTTGCTAAGTTGCTTAAAAATTTAAATCATCTGCTAACCATTATTTTGGTAAACAAAAAAGTCTATTTATGAACATATGTCTGATAATTATAATCAATGTAAAAATCACACTCAGATGCACACTTATAAACAAATCCGTATTAAGGTCAACATGTAGACATTTTGTACTATCAGTTTCAATCAATAAGATTGTCTTATTTCAAAATGATAAATCATATAAACCTATAAGATCCTCAATTATAATAATCTTAACAGAAAAAATAATAATAAAGTTTCCAAAAAACATTAGAAAGTAATAATAGATTTTGGGAAATAAAGGGAGGTAACATACACATTATATTGGGAGGAAACATTTTAATAAATTCATACATTGTAATCTCCCTTTGAAATAAATACACTTATATAAGGATTTTGAATGAGTCAGTATGACATTCTACTCCAAATCCCTCCAGAGGCGTGCACGTCGCGGAGATGGCACATGGCAGGTCAAGGTCAAGTCACCTTAAGTACCAGAGATGATTGGTTGAACTGTCGTGACTAACTCTGGAGGGTTGGCGCTAACAAAGGCCGTTTTTGTTATTGTCGGTCAAGAAGCTGACAAAACTGCGCTCCACACATCATCTCAGTAATATAAATATTTCTGTCATATAGATTTAATTTCCTACTATCGGTTTGAAAGAAATAGAGTGGACACAAAATTTTGACATTGATACAAAATGACTGTGGCCTTGACCTGAGGAAGGTCAAATATGCACTCTGCAGTCTGCACATTGCCACATGTTTAACATTTCCACCAAGTAGTTTCAATTTCCTACCACTTGTTCAAAAGGTACAGACCAGACACGAAAATAACTCCTGTAAGTCTATATAAATCAATTAATCCCCATGGAGGGGCTAATCTTATTCTTAAAAAGTCCGAACTTGTGTTCTGTACACCGTCTCAATATTGTAAGTACATGTAATATTCCTGCAAAAAAAGCTTTAATTTCTTTCTATTGGTTTAAAAGATACCAAGCGGACACAAAATTTTAATACTGATACAAAATGACTGATACAAAGTGTGGCCTTGACCTGTAAATGGTCAAACCTGGCTCTGCATATCATGTCATTATGGTTAATATTTCTGTCAAGTAGTTTCACTTTCTTTCCACCAGTTCAAAAGATGCAGACCGGACACAAAAACTACTAACAGACGGACGTCCAACCAGGTGCATAACAATATATGCCGAAATTCTTTTGGGTGTATAATAAGTTTGCAAAAATGAGTTATATTATATGTAATATTGTAACTCATAGTTGTCTTTATTTTACATCTTTATCAAATTTACAAATGAAGCCGAAAGGACCATGGTTTTGAGGCCAAAACATCCAGGAGGTGAAAAGTTCTCAAATCATTAAAAACTAGACTTAGCTATTGCAAATTGTTCATCATTTTGCAAAATTAAATGTGAGCCTAGTTTTTACTATTTTATATGAAAATTGCCCTTCCACAGGAGCTAATAATTTCAATAATTGAAAGATATAAGCAAATAATTAAGAAATGAAGGCGAATACCCCTCTGTACAATTAATAAACACAAGAGCACCGCTAAGCGGAGCATTATATGCCCAAAAGTGCTTTTTATTTTTTAGTAAAGATAAAGCATTTGTAAGACATTACATAAATTAAATAAAGTTTGAATATTGTGGACCAAATGGAACTTAAGTTATGCTCTAGAAACTGTTTTCAGTTTTGAGGTAATAGCAACCTTTAACTTTGACCTTGTGACCCCAAAATCAATAGGGGTGTTCTACCCAATATGGACAATCATCCTATGAAGTTTGAATATTGTGGGCCAAATGGAACTTAAGTTATGCTTCGGAAACCAAATTGCTAACAGACAGACGCCAGGGGGTATAACATTATATGCCCGAAATTGTTTCGGGCATATAAAAATGACCCCAGATCGATCATAAGGTAACATGTAACTAATGGTGGAAAGCATTTGTCTCAATCTCAATCCATTGAAAAGTTGCAGCACTTTGAAATCAATTTTGATGGAAAAAATCAATGCAAAATAGTTTCACATTTCATAAAATACGCCGCCATTGCTGCCCTAATTATCACGTGACCAGCGAGAATTTAGGTTCGAATACCTTTGCAAGACATTTTGTGACCCGTGACCCAAATACTATTTTTAATTGGTTTATACAAATTTATTTTAGTTTGATTGTGTTGGAAGCTATAAGTTTATTGAAACACTCTCGAATCCGTTCCTGGAACCAACCAGTACTAAGCAATGAATGTAAAGTTTCTTGCTCAAGGAAACAACGGCTTGCCTCTGACAGGGTTTGAACCCACGCGGTCAGCAATCATTAGATTACTAGTCCGAGGCGTTAACCACTCGGCCACGCCGCCACTTATTTTTAATTGAAAACATGGCTTTGCAATTATGAATAACGGTGTATTTATTCAATAACAGACATTGTACCAAAAACATGTTTGATTTATATTGTTTTGAGTGATGATTCATGAATTATTTGTTTATTTTTGTATAAAATCATACAATTACTAACAAGAGCTGTCTGTAGGACAGCAACGCTCGACTATTCTTAGTGCTTGATAGTAAAAAAAATGCTTGATAGAGTTACCTCCTCTTGTTTACAGGTTTGGGTCATGATGGTAAACAAGTGTGCAAAGTTTCAAAGCCATATGTCAATGGACTTTGAAAATATTTGAACTATTACAAAAACTTTAACATAAATTCTAAGTCGAAAAAGGGGCATAATTCTGTCAAAATGCTTGATAGAGTTACCTCCTCCTGTTTACAGGTTGGGGTCATGATGGTGAACAAGTGTGCAAAGTTTCAAAGCCATATGTCAATGGACTTTGAAAATATTTGAACTATTACAAAAACTTTAACGTAAATTCTAAGTCGAAAAAGGGGCATAATTCTGTCAAAATGCTTGATAGAGTTACCTCCTACTGTTTACAGGTTGGGGTCATGATGGTGAACAAGTGTGCAAAGTTTCAAAGCCATATGTCAATGAACTTTGAAAATATTTGAGGTATTACAAAAACTTTAACATAAATTCTAAGTCGAAAAAGGGGCATAATTCTGTCAAAATGCTTGATAGAGTTACCTCCTCCTGTTTACAGGTTGGGGTCATGATGGTGAACAAGTGTGCAAAGTTTCAAAGCCATATGTCAATGGACTTTGAAAATATTTGAACTATTACAAAAACTTTAACGTAAATTCTAAGTCGAAAAAGGGGCATAATTCTGTCAAAATGCTTGATAGAGTTACCTCCCTCCTGTTTACAGGTTGGGGTCATGATGGTGAACAAAGTGTGCAAAGTTTCAAAGCCATATGTCAATGGACTTTGAAAATATTTGAACTATTACAAAAACTTTAACGTAAATTCTAAGTCGAAAAAGGGGCATAATTCTGGCAAAATGCTTGATAGAGTTACCTCCTCCTGTCTACAGGTTGGGGTCATGATGGTGAACAACTGTGCAAAGTTTCAAAGCCATATGTCAATGGACTTTGAAAATATTTGAACTATTACAAAAACTTTAACATAAGTGGTTACGCCGACGCCGACGCTCGGGTGACTGCAATAGCTCTACTTATTCTTATCAAATAGTCGAGCTAAAAAGGGGCATAATTCTGTCAAAATGCTTGATAGAGTTACCTCCTCCTGTCTACAGGTTGGGGTCATGATGGTGAACAAGTGTGCAAAGTTTCAAAGCCATATGTCAATGGACTTTGAAAATATTTGAACTATTACAAAAACTTTAACATAAGTGGTTACGCCGACGCCGACGTTCGGGTGACTACAATAGCTCTACTTATTCTTATCGAATAGTCGAGCTAAAAAGTTTTCATTTTAAATCACTTTCACCTGTGCGTTGTCAAAACGTGACCTTGTTAACTTTGGGGGATTCCGTTTAAGGGCGCATGCTCAACAATACTTACATGTGAGCCTATTACAGGGTTTTCCGCTTATACCGCCTGCATACAGATAAGTAGGCAATGCGCCATAAACCTGATTAATTATCAGAATTTTGACCTATATTACTATATTAAATAATTTTATGGCTTTAATGAGTAAAATATCACCCATACAAGCACGTCATTGTATGTGTTTGGGTTGGGGTACCGGGTAATACATGGTCTTTGTTTAATCTACGCTCTTTATCCTGAATTGTATTTACCTTCCTCGGGGAAAATGATCTCTTCAACAATCATAAATGAAAAATGGGTCTGATATAACAACATTGTATAAGTATAATGGGTTTTATTTTATGTACGGGAACTACTTCTCTTCATACAAAATAATGGATAATTTCGGTACCCCATATGAGGCCTCATAACTAAGGGTTATTCTATGTTTAGAACATAATGGAATTTCCATAATATGTGTGAGGAGCTGAATTTTGATGCCTAACATTCAATTTTTTGATGAGTGAGCGTAATAAAATATAATTTTTAAGTAACTATGATTTTTGTACGGGAACTGCTTGCATGCCAGTACGCCGAGCTATAACACAATTTCACGCAATCCGCACTTGTTTATCTGGACTATCTTTAGCCTCCGCCATGTATGTCATAATTTGATTAGCAAATTTTACACAATTGCTATTTAAAACAGTATCATCGGTCTTGAAAATGGACATATAACATTGAGATGTGTTGACGTTGATTTGAATTTGTCATATAAAATGTAGTATTTTTACGCCGAGCGTTGGTCCACCCACTCTACTGATAGAAGCACAGGCAAAAGTATCGGACCTGGGAAGAAAAAATATGACCAGATTGATAAAAAAACCTGTGTTCATCTTAAAAGTGTCAAAAAAACAAAACAAAAAAAATGTATATAATGACCCCCTTTAAAAATATACTATAAGTTAAGAGAAGGCCGTATGGCCATTAGGCATCTTGTGTGAAACGTTGCGGTTTTCGTTGCTATTGGCCAATCAGAAGACTCGTTACAAAATATCGAACAGCTGATTGACAATGGCGTAGAAAGTAATCTAAAGACCGTGGAAAGGTTTGAAATTCGAATTTTGCGTGTATCAGATGCTACTGACGGTTGTGAGTGGTCCAACTTAATGAATTTAGTAATATTATTTAGTAAATTCAAGTAATTTTGACCCGTAGTCAGCTGACATACATGTATTAGTCTATGTTTACGTACCGAATTGTTGTGCCGCAATTATGTCTACCAAGGATTTTTAGCACGAAGTCGCTCGTTTTCCTGATAGATATTTCATGAACGGGAAGGGCTAGAGACTTGGGGTTGGTCTCATTTTGAAGCTTTATATAAACGTGAAATAGTGATAAAAGTTTTTTTTAATTGTCTGGCCAATTGTTTTCACAACGGCCCGGGAAATGAATCCCTTGCTCGTAGGCTCGAATCTGGAGTTTCCGGCCTTCTCTTAACTTATAGTATATTTTTAAAGGGGGTCATTATATACATTTTTTTTGTTTTTTTTGACACTTTTAAGATGAACACAGGTTTTTTTATCAATCTGGTCATATTTTTTCTTCCCAGGTCCGATACTTTTGCCTGTGGATAGAAGCTCCTGCACGGTCCTACTTTCACTTTGGACACACTTCATGTAAATAAAACATGGTGGGATGGACAATGATGAATCAGCTTAACAAAGGTGTCAATAAACATTTGTTCAACTTCTTATACCTATGAAACCTCGAATGATCTTTTAAAATTACTTCTCACGAAAATATTTACCATGTGCCCCGTACGCTGACATGATAACAGCAAGTCCCCCCGAGAGACCAGCAACACGGATAAAGTTTCTTCCCTGCGTCAGCGCCATCTCTTGAACTTCTTTCACGACAACAGTTTGGACCTCTTTTGTTGGAAGAAATGAAGACAACTGACTTAATATACCACCTACAATATCTGTCATTTTGACATTCAAAACATTGGAACAATTTTTTACCGAAACTTGCGAAAAGTGGTTATGATCTCCTTTGAGAAGAGTACTTTTTCGGCGGTCTCCACAAAATCGACGGTCTCTGGCGGTCTACAAAGACCGACGATAGTAGAAAACCGGACAAATTCATTTTTCACGACGATACTCTATTGATGTCAATATTTAAGGATATGGATGGCGGATATATATATATAAATGTTTTTTTAAAAAATGGGAAAATAGGCAGAGATATGTCTCTGAAAATAGGAAATAAAAATTAGATAAACATTTTAACGATGAAATATATATTGAAATATAAAAAATGCTATTAGATTCTAAATTTATTATTATATATATTAACGACTTATTTTTATTTTTATACCTACTTCAACGATATTATGATCATTATTATCATTATAGTAGTAGTACTCACTACTAGTATAATCTCGATTTTTTTAACTTAAAAAATTATATAGATCTATATTATATACGAGGGGTGTCCCAGAATTACGTGGACTTTTGCTGTTAACATTGTATGTGTATATGTCTATTCCCTGAATAAATCGATACGAACTCAAAAACTACTGAAAATAAAAACAGGGGGAGACAAGGGGTAGCGGGTGCGGGGCAGTCCATTCCGACGTTACGACGTCATTCCGGCGGCGTCGCTAGTTGTTAATAAATGCGTGGCGTCGAATGTCAGTTTTTCTCAACATAGTCGCCGCCTAACTCAATACACCTATGGTGTCGATACATCCACTGGTCGTACACCACCCTGTACCACTCCTGGTCGAAATAATATACTCTAAATCCATTATTAAAACATTATTAAAAACATGGTTGACATTTCTAAAGAATGGATGAATATGGATTTCTGAGGCATATCAATGTGCCTTTAAATAATGTAGCGAAATGGTAGCAGAAATGGAAGATTTTCTTCAACATTGACAAATGCCACATATCATGCATTTTGCTGTCCGCTCTAAGAAACCAGTATACCCTGAACAATTGAACTCTTCGATCAGACCGTCAACCAAGACATTTATCCCAGCGCAGAAATAACTACATATCTTTTCTGGTCAACACATACAAATAAAGTAAGAGCAAATGCTATCCATACTCGGTGTAAAAAGCTCATCAGAGCTTATGTTTATAGTTATATGAATCCGACTTATAAATAAAATTTACTTGAATTGACTTGACTGTAGGCTCTAACAAATCTTCTTTCGTCTTCACCAGAAACTAAGTCAACAGCTCTTAAATCTCTAGATGCCAACTTTAGAATAATATTTTTTTCTGTGTGGAACTCTTATTGCAAAAAAAGATATTGATAAAATTGAATCAGTTAAAAAGACTAACAGCCAGGTTCACAACAATTTCCAGGAACCGTATACCGATCATGTCATCCTCAAAGTGGCAATTCTACTTAGACATAGATAGCACTGTATACTTACATGTACAAACATTAAATTGTTACTTCATCGTTAAATCAATATTTGATCTTTTGTTTATTGTTGTTTTTGTGATTGTGATCAATATGATATTAAAGAATGATAAAAAATATATGAAATTGACACTACGGCGCCCGTAAGTTTTTGTTTTTTTTTCTTCAAAAATTTAGCGTTCTTACAGCTTACATTCAAGACAGATATTCTTGATAAACGACTGCAAATATAACTGTAAGCTATAACAACAATACCCTATACAGTTTTGTTACATAAACAGTTATTCCGTTCTGATTAAAGATCACTGTGTTCATGATTTTATCAGTCGGCATTTGAGCTTGTCATATCGTCATCACGTCAATATAATGAGCATAAATACCCCAGTTTCGTCGCAATCCAACAAACGAGAAAAACGAGAACTTAGCTCACCAATTAATGAAATTGATTTAAAGAGGAATAAAACAACATTAATCAAAGAGATGAGTCTTCCCAGTACCACCGAAGAAACTGAATTTTCAAATGAGAAAAATCCTGTCCCTTGTATAACTATACCTCAAGAAGAAATGGAAAAACTTTCAAATCTTCTTGTCAAAACATTTGAATGTCAGATCGAATCTTTAGTTCACAAAATTGTTTCTGGTGTAACTGAAAAGCTGACATCTAGAATTGTAGCTCTAGAAGTTGAAAATAGTGAATTGGTCAAGGACAACAATAATTTGCGTGAACAAGTTCAATCATTCCAACAGTCATTTGAGCTTACTCTTGATGACCATGAACAATACTCGCGTCGCAACAATATCAGAATCTCAGGCGTGAAAGAAACAAAAGATGAAAATACTGACGAAATTGTGGCTCAAATTTGCTCAGCAACAAACACAAATATTTCAATAAATGAGATCGACCGTTCGCATCGGGTTGGGAAGCCTTTATCTGGTAGACCTCGTGACATTATTGTCAAATTTACATCTTATCGCTTCCGTCAACAATTATATACACATCGCTCCATTTTAAAAGATTGCGGATACGCCGGCACATATCTGAATGAAGATCTCACCAAAAGGCGCAATTATTTACTGTTTCGGGCCAGAAAACTAGTTCGTTCTAGACATTTGATGGGTGCTTGGGCATCAGATGGAAATATTCTCGTAAAAGACAATAAATTGAAAGTTCACCGTATCCAAGAAGAGCAACAACTTGATCCATTCCTTCTTAACCCACCAAGAAATGAAGGTTCAGCCTAAAAGGTTTAACATTTGATATGATAAAAATATTCTCTATGACATTGAATATGCTAAAGTTCAAAGGTAGAACTTGAACATACATTCTGAACTAACTTATATACAACATAAGTGAACTGATGCATGTTGTCTAAATTCTGTACTACATATTTTATGATGTAAACCAGTGTATTTAGCGTCTTATTGGCAATAAGCTATTCATAACTAACTTAACGAACCATGTAGTTAATTGATCTACTCGTTACAATGTTTTGTATGATAAGTGATAGTAGTTCAATTCTTCTTTAAGACATGTATCTTTTGAATCGTATAGTTCTTAATATACACACTAGTGATACATTTGTAATGTCATTTGCAGTCTATGTTGTTTTTTTGTGTTTCATTATGTGCTGATACCGAATCATTTATATTTATAATCTGTTATACTATCTTAATGTACACACATAAATTACATATACATGTACCTAATGTAGATATACATCAGTTTGGACATAATTATTACAATTTATTTTATTAAGACGTAATGGTCTATTAATGCTGAAAGTCTTTTCATATTATAGCATTTTACACTTTTAAATAATGGTCTGATCTAATATTTGCCTTAATTAATGTTGTTGTTTTTTATTTTGAATATGTCCAAGTTTTGATTTTTTTGATTGTCATATATACCAAGTTACAACACTATTACAAGTAACATGTCTTATATAATTATAGACGGTTGTTTGTTTCAAACAATGAATATCACTTCTTTCTATAGTGTGTGTTCTAAAGCACTTTTATGAACAGTAATATTTACTAAAATATGTGTATTCAAAGTTAGTTTAAGATTTCAGAGTTGTCTATTTAATATTGATTGCGCTATTTAAATTGCAATTTGTTTTTTCATTTTCAAGATACGTATGGGTGAGAATACGAATGTCGACTTATCTATTTTAGTGTTTATCCTGCGGAAAATGTATTTTATGTGTTTATAAACCGAATAAGCAGTTAAGATCAAAGCAAAAAAAAAATCAATAATGTAGAAAGTAAACATGTACAAGTATGTCGTATATCTGCGGCTTCTTGTTGTAATCGGTCATGCATGCAATCTTATATACATGTATAAGTAACAGTTAACAGTGTGATTTACTAATTTGCATTAGTATATGATTGTCCGATAGGTATTTTAGTTTGAATTAGTCATGAAATGATCTTCCATTATAACACCTAACGTGTTAGTATGTTGACATCAAACTGAAGACCAAATGCAGATTAAATAATATCTTATGCCACATTTTTTACTACCGATATTCATCTGCACTATAGCGTAACATTTTTTTCTTTTTTTCAACATTCCATTTATATTGTTCCCCAAACACATGCTCTATATTTTTTCATTTAAATATTATGTTTCTTTTTTTTCTTCCGTATTTGTTTTCTGTTTGTTTAGTTATACTTTTTCATATTGTACTGTTTTTAAGTTCGATGCTTCTTTTTTTTCTTGTCTTGTCTATTGTAGACTATTATATTATATATGTTTGTGCTGTTACTTGTAGTCCATGGTCGCATGTTCAAAACCTATGCTTAGTTTTATTACCTAATGGGTAACGATTTAGCTTCATACAGAGCGAGCATTGGACTTTTTAACTGTAGAATTCAAAAGCTTCATAAGAATGAATTATATTTATCTCAATTATTCCCTGATATTTCGACTGAAAATATTTTTGCTTTACTTATTACTCTCAAGTTATATTTTAGTATGTTTTTACGGAAAATTTTAACATGCGTCTTAAATCTAGAATTTGTATTTTTATTAATGATATTATTGATAAATTCAGGAGACGTTGAAACGAATCCGTGTCCTCTAGTTGAAACTTCTGATGAATCAAGCATATCAATTTTACATCTTAACATTAGGTCTATTAGAAACAAACTTGATTTTATAAAGGAAAACTTGTTAGACTACGATATTCTTTGTTTTACTGAAACACACCTTACAGACAGTATAGGAACCAATGAGTTATTACTAGAGAGTTCACACACTTGTGTTTATCGTAGAGATGTAACTGCTCATTCTAGTGGAATTTTGATTTATGTATCTGAAAATTTACTTTCATGTAGAAAAGTAGAGTATGAAATGCATTCTGTGGACGCAATATGTTTAGAAATTAAGTTTCGTGCAATTTCCTTTTTACTTTGTTGTGTATATAGAGCTCCCAGCAAACCCGTAGCTTTCTGGAATGATTTTGGAATAATGATTGACAATGCTTTAGATAAATATGAAAACATAGCAATTGTAGGTGACATAAATGAGAACCAACTAATAGACAATACCTATCTTAAACAAATCATGCTTTTATACAATCTTACAAATGTTATTTCGTCACCAACTAGAGTAACAAATTCAACATCTAC